ATTTAAGGTTAATTTCCCACACATGTGGCTTTTTCACATTGCAGTTCGTGTTTGTGTATAAATAGTCAATGAGTTTGTTAACTCTCATGTGAGTGCACTGTGCAGACTCGATACTGAGCCACTGGGAGCAGAAAAGAACTGTCAAAAGACCTGCGAGACAAGGTAATAGAACTTTATAAAGATGGAAAAGAATATAAAAAGATATATAAAACCTTAAAAATGCCAGTTAGTACGGTTCAATCACTTATTAAGAAGTGGAAAATTCAGGGGTTTCTTGCTACCAAACCAAGGTCAGGTAGACCAAGAAAGATTTCAGCCACAACTGCCAAAATAATATTTTGGGATGCTGGAGGTATTTTATCTGCATAAGCAACATGTTTTTTTAATAAACATTTTATATATATATATATGTTATATATTTATATATTATATATTTTTATTGGTTTATTTACTAAGGCCAAAATTACCTATTTGAAAGAATTCTTTGATTTAGATGTTTATCCAGCTCTGCTTTTTTGCTTATAATTTTTAATTCTCAATTTTCCACAATTCACAGTTTAAAGCAGGTGTTCTTAAAGGGACATTATAATCACCAGAACAGCTACAGCTTATTGTATTTCCCTTTAGGCTTTTTGCAGTTAACACTGTCTTTTCAGAAAAATGCAATGTTTACATTTCAGCCTAATGGTAACTCAACTGGCCACTCCTCAGATGGCTACTAGAGGACAGTGCAGCTCAGTGTGTACGGCAGTGCAGCACAGTGTGAAGGGCAGTGCGGCTTCCTGGGGCTTCCTGGGGTAGTGCAGCACAGCGTGTAGCACTGCCATTTAGTGTCTCCACCCTATGCATACAGACACAGAACGTTCCTCATAGAGATGCATTGATTCAAAGCATCTCCCTGAGGAGATGCTGATTGGCCAGGGTTGTTTTTGGTTTGTGCTGGCTCTGCCACTGGTCTGCCTTCTTGACAAGCTCAGCCAATCCAAGGCTTTCCTATGGAAAGCATTGTGATTGGATCATGTCACCACTTCTGATGATGCCAGCCAAGCAGGCAGATCAGGGGCAGAGCCATCAGTAGTAGACTGGAATAAAAGTAAGGTTTTACCATATTTAGGGGGAAGGGTGGAAGGGGGCAGGGAGGCTAGATAGTGATTTTAACACTATAGGGTCAGGAATAAAGGTTTGTGTTCCTGACCCAACAGTGTTCATTTAACTTGTGAGGTGTTAGTGGAGAGGTTTGACATTCCTCATTAACATTTTTGTAATTGCTTATTTTTAGAATTTAGTTTCGATACAGTCGAGTTGCGATATCCAGAATGACAAATATCTTGGCTGTGATTGAATTGAAAAACTCAGTATTTTTTATGTGCAAAAATTAATAATATATTATAAGAATAAATAATTGTATGCACACAAATTAATAACATATTATAAAAAAAAAAGACATGAAAATTACGTAATGTATCTATTATTAATTGCTTTTCGGAAAGAAGGGGAGGTGTGAATTGTAAGTACATTCGGGGGAGGTGTGAGCATCAAAAGGTTAAGGGGATACTCTAAACACCAGAGACACCACAGCACTGTTTCTATTCTGCCCCAGGCTCCCCTGCTTTTTCTCTGCTTCATGCTCCTCTGTTCTTCCTCTACCCTAGGCTCCCATGCTTCAACATATTTACATAATACAGCTAAAGGAACAGTGCACACATACAAATATAGTTTTACATTTTATAAGGCTACTTAAAATCACCTATCTCAGCAAACAAATATGGTGATTAGTTCCACCAAATGGCCACACTGTGTTAAGCCCACCATTACTTCACAGTACCCCAATATCAGTGGGTCCTATACTAATTCCAATATAAGAGACAAATTAATATAGATCCAGATATGGTTAATTACAGAGTTACCTCAAGGTAAACATATAATTGGATGTAAATGGGATTTAACCCCTTAAGGACACATGACATGTGTGACATGTCAAGATTCCCTTTTATTCCAGAAGTTTGGTCCTTAAGGGGTTAAAACCCAAATGTAACTCTGAAGGCAATGCCTGTAGGTACAAGTCGCAGTTAGTGGCAAAAGAGTATTCACACAACTCTTGCTCCAGATGTAAACCAAAGTATTTTCCAAACACTGATGACAATAGCTGCTCTACGTAAAATGATTGTGAAACATCATGAATTTCTTAAAGGCAATATCGAAGAAGAAATCTATATGACACAACCAGAAGGATATGTGAAAAATGGAGAAGAACATCTTGTGTGAAAATTATAAAATCCCTCTATGGACTTAAGCAATCAACTTGAACATGGAACTTAAAAACAAACAGTTCTGCTAGATGAAGGATTTACTTGAAGTATAGATGAGCCATGTCTTTACACAAAATGTGTATATTCTGAATATTATTGTCTAATCACCCACAAAAAGAATAAGCAAATTGAAAAGTTAAATGCAATACTCAACCAGCACTTTGAGACAAAAGACCTCGGAGATGTGACATATTATCTAGAAATCAACATACAGCGTGAAAAGGATGGCAGCTTTTTGTTGAACCAGAGATCTAAAATTGATGCTGTACTTCAGAAATTTGGCAAACACTCCAATGGACACAGCATATTTAAAGTCAGAAGGAGAAGAATATTTTCTTACTACAAATGATCAGTACAAACAAGCAGTGGGGGCATTGCTATTTATTGCAACTACTTGCCGTCCAGACATTGCAGCTGCCATGTCACTTCTCTGTAGACACGTAAGTGAACTGGACTTCAGTCATTGGGTATCTTAAACAAATGACAAACTTAAGTCTGAAACTGTCCACAACTAGTTATTTTAACCTTTATATGCTATGTGGGCTAGGATTGGGAAGGTGACCTCAATAATCGCAAATATGCAAATAATTACTTGTTCAATTGGGAAGCCCTATATTTTGATCCAGAAAAATAGCAAAATGCAGTGGCTTTATCTTCTACAGAGGCTGAATACATATGTGCTGCCTGTGCCAGTCAAGAAGTTGTTTGGTTGTCAATTACTTGAAGCATTTGGATGTCAGACATTACCTTCATGATTTTGTTTTTAAAAAATCTGTCTGTGCTTACATACTGTGAGACTGAAAACGTGATTGCAGATGCTATGATAAAGCTGCTTACAAGACACAGATTTGTACAACTAAGGTCCAAAAAGACCTGAATGAACATAAGTAGTTGTTAAGTGGGGTGTTAGAATATATTCAACAGCTAATGTAAAAATCTAGTTTATATGTACGAATATAGTCTCTACTATTCAGTCAGTAGATGGCAGTGTTTTAAATAGCTGTATTTGTTGTATCCTCTTGTTATCAGAAAAAAGTTAGAATTAAACAAGGAAGAGGAAACCAGTAACGTGAATTAAAACATGCATGAGAGGGAGATCCGTGTTTGAAGAAGATTTATGACTGTGCATTCATAATTTCTGTAATGTTTAAAGTAATCCAATAGTGTGTGCATGTCTGTATGTGCATGTCTGTGTGTGTTTGTGTCTGTGTATGCCTGCCTGTATACAACTATTAGTGTATGTCTGTGTATGTGCCTGTCAGTGTGTGCCTGTGCATGTCTGCATGATTTTTTCTGTACAACTGTGTCTATGAATGCCCGTATGTGCCTGTCAGTACGTATTTGTGTCAATGCATGCCTGTATATGTTTTTCTGTGTGTGTGTCTGTATGCCTATATATGTATGTTCCTGTCAGTGTGTGTATTTGGGTGTGTTCTTGTGTCTGTGTGAGCACCTGTGTCTATGTGTGTGCCTGTGTATATATGTCTTTATGAATCCACCTGTGTGTCTGTAAGTATCCATCTGTGAGTGTTTCTTTATGTGTGCATCCATGAGTATATTAAGAGTCATATATTGTAGTTTGTTGGACATGTCATGAGACCTATGGCATAAATATATTGCAACCTACATGGGTACATTTGGGACCATTACTAAAGGTATCTCTGTGGGTAGGGTTGCTCTCATCAATTGAGAGTCCACCAACAGACTGACTTAGATTTTCATGAGTAGAAGCAATACAATCACATTTTGGTTGTTGGTTGTAGTTTGCATTTTAAATTTTACTTTTCCACTGTTGCTGCTTGCATGATGGCTTGACTATGGGAACACATTCTGTCATTGTTTACTTGTGTGGGTGGTGGCAGTTGCATGTAAATTTTGGCAATACATCCTAGCTATTACATGCCTTTGCATGCTTTAAATTGGAATGGTTATATTGGTGGTCCAACAAACATGCATATGTCTTTAAAGGGCCACTCTAGGCACCCAGACCACTTCAGCTTAATGAACTGGTCTGGGTGCCAGGTCCAGCTAGGGTTAACCCATTTTCTTATAAACATAGCAGTTTTAGAGAAACTGCTATGTTTATAAATAGGTTAATCCAGCCTCTAAAGCCTCTAGTGGCTGTCTCATTTACAGCCGCTAGAGGCGTTTGCGTGCGTCTCACTGTGAAAATCACAGTGAGAAGACGCAAGCGTCCATAGGAAAGCATTATGCTTTCCTATGAGACTGGCTGAATGCGCGCGCAGCTCCTGCCGCGCATGCACATTCAGCCGAAGAGGAGGCGCGCTCCCCGCCCGGCGCTGGAGAAAGGTAAGATTTTAACCCCTTCCTCTCCCCAGAGCGCGGTGGGGGGGGGGATCCCTGAGGGTGGGGGCACCCTCAGGGCACTATAGTGCCAGGAAAACGAGTATGTTTTCCTGGCACTATAGTGGTCCTTTAATCATGAGAGAAGCAGCTGATTGTCAGGGTATTTATATCGGCAGACATCTTGTGCTATGATAGAAATTAAAAGTGTATATGTTGAGTCACTTTAAACAGAGCAGACTCCATTTTGTTATTTTCAAGCTAACAAAAGACACAAGATTTCTATCTGTAAAACTAACCACTTTCCCAGAGTTAAAGGAATGCATAGTATATACAAACCAAGTGATAAGGAGAACGGGGGTTGGACAGACTGTCTAAATGCTAATGGAATATAATCAATTCTAAACCCAGACATGTGTGACAGAGAAGATTAAATAATTTAATTTTACTTTCTAAATTTTATAAGGTACCATTGTACGGAAGAGGTGAAACTTAGTTTACGAACTGTCATATCAGAAATTATAGCAGGAATTGCGGACACTAAGTCTGGACAAAACTAAGAGAAAACCCTTTGAAGTGAAAGAAAACGTAAGTTATGGCCACTATAAAGATAAAGCAAAATGACGTCAAAATAGCCACCAAGAAAAGTTAACTCTTTCCTGGATAGGTATGTTTAGTGGGACAAGACTGCCCTCTATAGAACAAATACTAAATGGCTATCTGGACGGTAACCACACCTCCAGTGTTTCTATTGGTCTAGCAACTAGTGAATTTTCCCTTTAAAAAGTTAAGACAGAGGGAAGAGAAAAAAAAGGCGAGGAATGCAAGGGTATACAAAGGAAGCAAAGAAGTGAGCAGTCGGAAGCAATGCAGAGAGGCCTATGACAGATATCCACTCTAGGACACTCAGAAATTCCTACACACCTCCATGCAGAGAGACATCCAAATAAGTTCCTGAGACTATCTACCAATCGGATGAAATATCTACTCAACTGGTAATTATACTGGTTTCATTTAATTAATTTAATTAATTAAAATTTTCTAATAGCATGATATATGACTGGATAAATCACGGTCAGATTTCCATATTAAGAAATCTTAGTTAACTAAAGAATATATAGTTATAAACATTCCATTCTGCAGGTGGAATTAAGAATAATTATATATTAATGTGATAGTATCACGTGTTAGCATACCGCTGTTTTTATCCAAGTGTATTGATTTGCTCTAAAATAAGATAAAAGATCTGTTTAGGCAAATTAAAAACAAACTCTGCTTATATAAAATCTGGTAGATTAATCTTATTGGACGGTTCCAGGAAATGACTAATGAACTGGTTTAAATGTTATTTTATTTAAAATTACATAAGAATAGATCTTAATTACCTAGGAGATCTAGCCATCATTGAAAGGGTTATTCAGTTGATCTAACTGTTAGCCAGGGTTTTATGGCCCTTCGCTGTGAAAAGCTTCGCTTTCTATGTCTGTAAGGATACCTCATAAATCGTGTAAGTCTTGACAGAAAATGCTGTTTAGCCATTGAAACGGGTATACCCATTCCATTGTATTGCATATCATTTTATACTGGATATTCATTGATTATTGTCACGCATGTTACATAATATTATTTGTTAATTAATTGTTATTATAAAATAAAATCTATTTTTATAACATTGTGATTTTATTTCACTTAACACGATAACGATCTTTGGGATCTGAGAATTGAATTAGTGGGCAATTCTCACTGTTTACTATTATTATCCCATAAATATCCCCACAGATGATGGAAGAGAAGCACTTCAAATACTGAGAGATTATTATCAAGGCAATTGAAAGCCCTGAGCAATTAGTTTGCTAACATCCCTTCAGAAAGGTGCAAATGAACTTGAATTGACTGTATCATAAATGCAGAGACAGCCATTACAGCACTGAGAAAGATGGGAGAAATGTTAAATGACGGGTTGCTGATTGCAATCATTCTGAAAGGTGTGCCTGAATCATTTAACCCCTTAAGGACCTCGGACAAAAAAACAGCCGTTAAGGACCGCGGCTGTACCTAGTATGACCGCGGCAAATAGGAGCCCTGGACTTACCTGGACCAGCGATACGCGGCGATCACGGTCAGGGGGACTGCTGGACATCCAATCAGTCCCCCTGCAGCAGCTCCGGACATCCTAGCCCTCCTGGGCCATGTGATCACCATGATCACATTGCCTAAATAGAAGTCTAGGAGCTGCCAGCAGGGGGACTGTCTGAGTTGTCAGACAGTCCTCCAGGCTGCTAAAAAGTTATATATATATATATATATATATAATATATTATAAAATAATTAAAACATTTTATAATATATTATACTTATATAATGCATATATATGATTTCATTATAAGTGTACTTTGAGATATATACACATATATCTCAAAATACACTTATAATGAAATCATATATATGCATTATATATGTGTAATATATTATAAAATGCTTTAATTATAATATATTATACATATATAGGAAATAAAAGTGTGAGTATATACACAAACATACACACACGTATTATGTGTGTGTGTGTATATATATATATATGTATATATATAACTGGTAATATCAAAGGTTGCATTCACGGATTCATTAAAAAATTTACTTTTATTGAATCTTCCTTAAAAAAATCGACGTTTCAGTCCTACTTGAGAACTTTCATCAGGATTATGTGCACATAATCCTGATTAAAGTCCTCAAGTAGGACTGAAACGTTAATTTTTTTTAAAGGAAGATTCAATAAAAGTTAATTTTTTAATGAATCCGTGAGTGCAACCTTTGATATTACCAGTTGGATACTTGGAGCCCTGGGGGTGCACCCGGTTTGGGAATTGGAGTCTGAGTGCAAGGTACAGTGCTTTTTTTCTTTTTATATATATACACACACACACACGTATATATAATATAATTTAGAGAAAAAAAACATTTAGAAAAAAACAAATAAAAACACTAACTTTGGCCAGCATTTGTGACTAAGTGGCTACTACAAAAGACTGGAAATACTCCATTTGGAATACCCTGGGCTATCTACATTTGAAAATGGTATGCCATGATATTTCATATTCCTGGGCTACCATATGGTCTCAAAAGGCAAATTGAATTGGGCAAACCCAATATTGACCCTGTAACTTTCCAAAACACCATAAAACCTGTACATGGAGGGTATTGCTATACTCGGGAGTCTTCGCTGAACACAAATATGAGTGTTTAAAACAGTATAACTTATCACGACGATGAAATCACCAGTAAAAGTGCAGTTTTTGTGTAAAAAAACTAATAAAAATGCTAACTTTGGCAAGCGTTTGGGCTAAGTGGCTACTACAAAAGACTGGACATACCCCATTTTGAATACCGTGGGTTGTCTATGTTTACAAATGGTATGCCATGATGGGGTTAATTTTCATTCCTGGGCTGCTATATGGTCTCACAGGCAACATACGCCCAGTAAACCAATCTGGCAAATTTCAATGTGCAAACATGGAAAAGGGGAAAGCCCCTGTACATTTGCAAAAAAAAACATAAAACCAGTACATTGGGGGCACTGTTGTACTCAGGAGATGTTGCTGAACACATATTGGGGTGTTTTTGGCAGTAACACATAACAGGAACTGAGAATCCATGCCTAAAGTACAATGTGAGAGAAAAATAACACAAAAAATGACTTCCCAAACGTTTGACAAAGACTGGTGGTAGAATTAGTGCATGGAAAGTGTTAAAATACCACCATTTGAAATACCCTAGCGTGTCTACTTTTCAAAAAAATATGGTTTGATAGGTTTCAACAATATCCCAAATAGGACATGAATGCATGATGACCAGCTGTGAAAATTCCAAGTTGGAAAACTGGAATGCGCACCCTCCAAATAAGGTCTTTTAGCCCCCCGGGAACCCGACACACCCGTACATGGGTGGTATCACTGTACTAAGGAGATGTTGCTGAACACATATTGTGGTGTTCTTTGGCAGTAATACATAACAGGAGCTAAGAATCCATGCCTAAAGTACAATGTGTGTGAAAAAGAACACACACAAAATGACTACCCAAAAGGTTGACATAGACTGGTGGTAGAATTAGTGCATGGAAAGTGTTAAAATACCACCATTTGAAATACCCTAGCGTGTCTACTTTTCAAAAAAATATGGTTTGATAGGTTTCAACAATATCCCAAATAGGACATGAATGCATGATGACCAGCTGTGAAAATTCCAAGTTGGAAAACTGGAATGCTCACCCTCCAAATAAGGTCTTTTAGCCCCCAGAGAACCCGACACACCCGTACATGGGTGGTATCACTGTACTAAGGAGATGTTGCTGAACACATATTGTGGTGTTCTTTGGCAGTAATACATAACAGGAGCTAAGAATCCATGCCTAAAATACAATGTGTGTGAAAAAGAACACACACAAAATGACTACCCAAAAGGTTGACATAGACTGGTGGTAGAATTAGTGCATGGAAAGTGTTAAAATACCACCACTGGAAATACCCTAGGGTGTCTACTTTTCAAAAATATATGGTTTGATGGAGGTAAATTATATTGTCCAGCTTCAAAAATGTCCCAAATAGGACATGGGTGCATGATGACCATCTGTGAAAATTCCATGTTGAAAAACTGTAATGCGCACCCTCCAAATAAGGTATTTTAGCCCCCAGAGAACCCAACACACCTTTACATGGGTGGTATCACTGTACTCAGGAGATGTTGCTGAACACATATTGGGGTGTTCTTTGGCAGTGATCCTTAAAGTTCTTAGTACATGTATTGTTAAATTGCTATGTGTGTCAAAAAAAAAAAATCACCAATTATTTCTTTATTTCTTTATTTTTATTTGGCATAGATTGGTGGTAAATGGTTGCATGAAAAGAGTCAAAATATCCCAATTTTAATACCTTAGGTTGTCTTCTTTTAAAAAATATATATATGAAGGGTTATTCAGGGATTCCTGACACATATCAGTTTTACAATGTAAGTTGGTTTGGAAATAGCAAAGTGTTACTTGTATTTATAGCCCTATAACTTTCCAAAAAAAATGCTAATAATGTGTTAACATTGGGTATTTCTAAACTCAGGACAAAATGTAAAAACTATTTAGGACAGGTGTTTTGTGGCGGTTGTAGATGCGTAACAAATTTTGGGGGTCAAAGTTTGAAAAAAGTGTGTGTTTTTTTAAACTTTTTTCATCAGATTTTATTTTATTTTTTTTAGTAAATTATACGATATGATGAAAATAATGGTATCTTTAGAAAGACCATTTAATGGCAAGAAAAACAGTATATAATATATGTGGGTACAGTAAATGAGTAAGAGGAAATTTACAGCTAAACACAAACACCGCAGAGATGTAAAAAGAGCCCTGGTCCTTAACAGTAAGAAAATTGAAAAACCATCTGGTCACTAAGGGGTTAAACAGTTTGCCATCAACATTACGTAAGGTGATGCAAAAGTTACTTTTATAAAATACTGTGCTAATTCAAATGGCAATTTGAAAGTGAGTAATATGAGTCATATTTAAAATGAAGCATGGGCCAGAGCTTGCTCAAACAATCCAAATAAAGGTCAATCATTGTGGTGTAATTATTGTAGTAGCCCACCACAAAAAGATGCAAACTGTAGCCACAAGACGAAAGACAAGCAACATATAAGAATGACAACAGACATTCAAATGTTTTTAGAATCAGAAACGACCAATTCGATGTGTTAGCCCAAAAGGACTAATAGTCGACACAGGGGCAACATCCCATATAATTACTAACATCAAAAA